TTTTTTTTTAACGTGGAATTGACGTGGGGTGAGGGATTTATGTGGGGTGTGGGGTGTGACTTGTAACTGTAAAAAAAAGGAACATTAATCAATGTAAATCCCTATAATTGTGTAAGATATAATTATGGGGTATTCTTTATTTAACTAATTTAATAATAATATAAAATTATAAAAAATTACTTATTTAATAAAGTAAAATTTAATTAATTTATAAATAATTAGTGATATATGGGGTGATTTTTCCTAAAGTTAATAATAATAATCTAAACAAATTTGGGGCCTTCAAATTTTTGAGGCCTAAGGCAATGGCCTCACTGGCCAAGCCTTAGAGCCGCCCCGGTGTCTGTCGTGTCTATAAAACTTAAGTAATAAGTAAATAAAATAAAAAGTAAAAGATTTATCAGCAAGACAAACACATTTTTTCATATTTGATTTAGATTTAAAATCTAGCATAGATAAAACTAGCAATATATGTGTTTACCGAAAAACGGTACGGTTGAATTTGTTAGAAGTCAACGGTATGCGTTATTAACTTAGCTAGTTTGTTAGATAGAATAATTATCAACTTGAATATAACTTAGAAATAAAAAAAATAGCTTAGATAAAATGATTATGTCGCAATGAGCATCTGAGGTACGATCGTCGTACAAACTAGGAGAGCAACGCAGCGGAGAATGCAGAGAGGAAACTTAAAGTATAAGGAAAGTATTAGTATTGTGTATTTCTTGAGAAATCATAATGAATTACCTGTGAGAATGGTAAACTATATATTTATATGTTACAAAGGTAAGACATTAGCCAATGAAGGAGCTCCACTCGAGCCTTAAAGTACTGGACGCGAGCCCTAAACATAATGCCCTTTAAAGAATCAAATATAGGATGATGTTGTTCAACTATCTAAACAGTTCACAAATCTTGATAATAAATTTAGGTTTCTTGCAATGGTTTCTCAACAACTTTGTAATATGAGGCAAGAATACTGTAAAGACTATGGAAAAGATAGTAAATAAGAGAGAAATTCCCCGGTTAGGCGTTATGGCAGACATCACAGTATCATAGGTTGCTATCAAGGCAACAAGTGAGATCTGCAGTTCCAATTGCAAAGGAAATCCTATGGTCAGGAAATTTATAGTGTGAAGGGACACGAAAAATCCGATAGAGTTGAAAACCAAGAACAAGCCATAGGAAATTGGATTGTTGGTTCCCATCACTGATTGTCCTGCAATTCGTCGCAAGGACATTATGCCATCACTACTGCTGCTGTTATTGTGATCAGGCCAGTAAGTGTCCTGCCATACACCTCCTGGTGGACTAAGTACTGTTTGATAAGTTGCAGTTGCAATTAGAATGGCTATCACAAGAAAGGTGTCTCTTACTTTTCCTGGACAATCTTTGGTTTTATTGTACTTGAAGAAATCCTGAAGCTTCTTAGAATTAGATCGAGGCCCATCGTCCCTTGTTTGTTCTCTGCTGGATTGTTCATTTGATGGATCTTGGACTGGAACATTCTTGTAAATGAGATAGATGAATGATGATTGTGGCAAACCTTCTTGTTGCGAAGATTGCAAGTTTTCAGCAGATACAGCACCAGATGTTGTTAGAATTTCCTCAATACCTCTATCTCCTGATTCCTTAAGTAGTACTTCCAAAGGTGTAAGGCCTCCTTTGTTCAAAGAATTCACTTCAGTAGTGCCTTTAGCAACAAGATTTTCGTCGAGCAATTGATCAACAACCTGGATGATCATTTCTCTTATTGTTATTGAAATTTAAAAGTTGATATGATGAGTTAAAAGAGGCATAACGAAGATACTTACCTCGAATTGCTTAGTTGACGTAGCAAGATGCAAAACAGTGTTTCCTTGGATATCCTTCTTGTTTAAAAGACCATTCTTGTCAAATTCCTTGAGATTCTCAAGTAGTAATTTGAATGCTTCAAACTGATGATTCTTGACAGCTAAATGAAGGCAAGTCTCGCCACGAGCAGTCACTTCTTCTGCTGAGTCTGGAGAAGCCACAAGAAGCTCCTTCATGACATGTCCTCTGCCTTTGATTATTGCATAGTGAAGGGGAATTCTTCTGTCCTTCCCCTTGACAAGGCATAGATTACTGTCAACATTCAATAGCTCCTTCACAATCTCTATATCTCCATTTGCTGAGGCAATATGCAAAGGGCTGAAACCATCCTGGTTTAGTTCTCTTGCAAATTCGGGCCTCAAATGAATGATCTCCTTAGCAAACTCAAGATGGACACTCAAACAAGCAATGTGCAGAGGAGTACTATTTACAAACTTATATTTGGTTAGCCGAAATCATCGTGGTAGTGGTCATTATAAAAGAGAGGACAATATGGGTTCTCAGTGTAATCCTTTAAGAGGCAACTGTCATCATTGTGGCATAAAGGTCATTGAAAGAATGAATGTCGGACGCTTGAGCATTTTGTCAGGCTTTTATCAAAATTCCTTTAAAAGAAAGGCAAATAGATGTGGTACATCTTCTTCTAATGCTCGTGTGGAATCACACTTGACATTTGAAAATAATGTTGAGGCAAGACCTTCGCAAATGTACAATGACAATATTGAAGCAAATATGGATTTGAAGAATGATGATTTTAATGGCCTCAATGATATTACTCATTTGGAGATTAAATACTTCTTTGGAGATCGTAACTGATGTTTGATTTTTATGACGAACAATATGTTGTTGTTTTTGTGTGCTTTTGATTATCATTTATTTTATGTTACTTTTATTGTAAAATTTTAAAATAAAATAATATAAAGACTTAAGTTTTCTTGCAATGTTGCTAGTTATCTTAGCTATGATGTAATTTTATTTTATGAAGATAAATAAAATTTCTTCAATTGGATCCAAGATGAGTAATAGGGATATGTGTCTTCTGGATAGTGATACGTACAACTCACTGTAATGACCCGAAAAGTCATTTTTGAAATTTTTATAAAATTATCATTTTACCCCTCTCGATAGTTGCCCGGAGTAATTTCTTGATCAGTCGGAGAAATTGGTTCTAAAAATTTTGAACTATTCGTTTAACTATAGTTAATTGATTTGCGGGTAATTTGGTTATTTTTAAGGCCAAACTACATAAATCCCACTAGTTTAGGACCTAATTACTTAGATTCCCAATAGTTTTAAATATTACTTCCTCTGTCATATTTCATACTTAGGATACATGAGTTTGAATTCGTGAGATACATGTATCTGCGGAATTTTAAAATCAAGATACGTATTTTATTTGTTTAAATTAATTGGTTGTAACTGATTTCCTTAGTATAAGGTAGAAATCAAGGAGTTTATCTATGTTTAATTAATTTCATTTTATTATTATTTTAAATACTAAATTCGTTAATATTATTAATAAAAGACAAAAGACATGTATATCTTGGTCATGCAATTTGATTAATTTCATTTTATTACTCTTAAAATAATAAAATTCATTAATTTGATTTATCTATTATCAATATATGATGTATCCAACAAACAAAACACTTAGATATATGAGTATCATACAAGTACCTTCATATGTATCATAGAAGTACCTAATATTAATTTTGTGTATTTGTTATACGTGTCTAGTATGAATTTCATGTATCTATTTATATGATATAATATTTATTTCATGTATCTATTTATATGATCTAAT